AAATTTACATCTCCAGTTGGATTGCTCTTCTAAAATCTGAACTCCTATATCTAACGGGCTTCAGTTGGATGACCAATAGTCATCTCAAATCTCAGATGTCCATCCTGAGCGCGTGTTATTGCCCTCTCCCTGCCCAACTTGCTCTGCTCACAGTCTTCTGTATCTCAGCAAAACCTGTCAGCTCTACATTCAAAATACAATCAAAAGATGCTCACTTCTCTTTACTTGCACTGCTTTCAAGCTATCATCATTTCTTGCTAGACTGTTGTGAATGGTCCCGAACTGGCCTCCCTACCTCTGCCTATTCTCACATAGCTCCCAGATGAGTATATTAAAATACAAGTCACGCCCTGGCTAGTTTGGCTAAGTGGATAGAGCGTTGGCCTGTGGACTGAAGGATCCCAGATTCAATTCTGGTCAAGGGCACATGCCCAGGTTGCAGACTCGATCCCCAGTAGGGGATGTGCAGGAGGTAGCCAATAAATGATTCTCTATCATCATTGATGTTTCTCTCTCTCCCTTTCTCTCTGAAATCAATAAAAGTATGTATAAAAAGTCACATTATGTCACTCTTCTGCTCAAATTTGCCAATGGATTTTCATTTCATTCACAGGACAGGAGCCAATGTCTTTTAATCATTCATTTTCTTCTTACGCTACACGGAGCTCCTGTTGTTCACTGATCATAAGAGGCATGGCCCCACCTCCGGGTCTTTGCAAATGGGAAGCCCCAGGTATCTGTATGGTTTGCTTCCTTTCCTCCTCTAGGTCTTTACTCAAAACCAGCTTCTCAGTGAGGCTTCTGGCCAATGACCTAAAATTAGTACTCCCGCCCCCTTTTGTGCTTTATTTTCCTCCTCAGCATTTATCTACATACTATGCATTTTATTTATTCCTATTGATCCTGTCTCTTCCACTAGGATGTAAGCTCCACGAGGCAGGGATTTTTGTTGTGTTTTTCATTGTTGTGTCCTTTGCAGCTAGGAAAGTGCTTGGCATATAGTATAAAATATTTGTTGAATGGATAATTGAAAATAAAATGTGTGATACATAAGAAATAAAGATCATTAGTGAAAACATGATTAGCCAAGACCTATGAGCCTAATGTCTAAAAAAATCCATTTGTTATTGGTTTTTCATGGTAATCCGTCTTTGGAAGAACTGACTTAATTTTCCACCAGAAGTGGCTTGATTTAGCAATGTGGAACTTCAGAGTGTTCTAAAAAGGAAGAGAAGAATGATAAATACAGGTAGGTATTAAATAATATTCACTATTTGCCATGTTAGATGAGCTAATGATTAAAAAAAATATTAGTACAGGACTTACTATTCATAGAGGACTAAAATTAGAAATGAATTAAAAAAGTAGCTCACTGATGGGATTAGCTGTGTCTGGCACACTGTAATGTAATGTATAAAGTGAGTTGGACTTGGATGCCATCCAAGAGGGCTGAGTTACTGAAGCAGTTTTATGTCTAGTGATTCTACAATATAGGCATGGGTGTACAGTTAAACTTAGTATCTCCAGTACTATTCCTTATGTTATTTCCATCTTTAGACCTGAGAATTATAAATCCTTAGTTGTTATTCCTTATCACCTTACAATGTAATCAGTTAATGAATGTATAGACTACAAGCTCTCAAGTGAACGGTAGATGAAAAGGGAAGTTACTACTAGACAGAGTTAGAGGTAGAATGATAGAATGGAAAGATAAAGGTTTGGAGAACTGGATTCCAGCTGTCACTATGCCACCAGTTGGCTGTGTGATTTGGGGTGAGTTATTTAACCTCTCTTAGTTCCTCATATGTAAAATGTGGATGATGGACTGATAGGCTTCAGTGATCTAAGTGGTATAAAGCTTTTTGACCTTTAACCTTAACCCCTCCCCCAAGATGTCCACATCCTGATCCCTGGAACTTATGTGTATGTTGTATTCTATGACAAGGGGTAATTACGGTTGCTAATAAGATGCCTTAAAATAAGGCAATTATCCTGAATTATCTGTCTGGGCCCAATATAATCATAAGGGTTCTTAAAATGAAGAAGAGGGAGGCAGAAGTGTGTCCGAGTGATGCCACGTGAGAAAGACTTGACTGACCAATTGCTGGCTTTGAAGATGGGAGGAACGGGCCATGAGAAGTTGGAAAAGGCAAAAAACCAAAAACCAACCAACCAACCAAACCAAAACAAACCCCCCCCACAGATTTCCCCTAGAGCCTTCAGAAAGGAACACAGACCTATAGACACCCTGATTTTACACAGTGAGATCTGTGTCACACCTCTGACCTCCAGAACTCAATCAAATTTGTACTGTTTAAGCTATTACATTTGTGCTAATTTGTTACAGCAGCAATAGGAAACGAATACAATCATCATATGCATCATAACTAGCAAAGCTGGACTCAAGTTTATCACAGATGCTTGGTTTTAACCAAAAACCCATACTCGGGTATTTTGTAAAGATCTTCAGAGGCACAAGTAGTCAGATACCATGAGAAGGTTATAGGAAAGTCATAGGAGAGAGTCTATAGGGGAATAAAATTTTTACTAGTGATTCATGTCAGGTATAGGAACCTTTTATGAAGGTGAGAAAATGGCAAGAGAAGAGACCTTAGCGAGGTGACCCACCATGAAGACCTCAGTTTACTCATTTGTAAACTGAAGGGCTAGGATAAAAAAAAATTCTAAGTTCCTCTAGTTCTGAAATGAGATTTTAAAATCCTGACAGATGCTAACATGGGTGTTTGACATCTCACCATTCCCAAAGTTAAAACAGTATTCATTTTAGGAAGCACTGAAATTATCTTTAATGTCTGAGGGTCAAGCTTCACAGAGAGCCTCTACATAGTTTAACAAGAAAGTGGCTCTCAATTTTAACCCTGACACTCTTATTTAGGTAGGTCACTTGGAAAAGTTGTTTAAGTTTCTTACTCTTCTTCACTTATGGTAAACATTCCGCTAGATGGATTTTCTAAGTAATTTATTATTTTAGATGTCTGAAGGTTTATTCCTTTAAACCTAAAGCTTTCAATATATTTGATGGAACTTTCTAAAAAAACACATGCTCTACTTTTATATAAAATATAATGGGTACCATATTGTTTTTTCTTGAAAAGAGTCATATGACTAACATTAGTCACTATATAGGGCTGTAAGACAAGGATGCTCTAGAGAACAATCAGCAAACTATGCCTGAAGGCTGTTTTTGCAAGGCTTGGAATAGGAAGTTTTTACATTTTTAGTTTCTTTTTTTTTTTTTTAAGAATAGACCTTATATACTTACTATCTCCCTCTTTACAGAAAGGTTTGCTTACTCTTGCTCTACCAAAAGAGGTGTAAGCCTCTTCACAACTAGACTGAATGTTATACGCTCTCACCAAAGGAAGGACATCAATGTCGCACAGCACAGTGTCGAACAAGGTAGCTCAAATATGTGTGGAAAAACAAAGGCCACTGGCATTTAAGTCTTTTGTTGGTGGTTCTTACACTCCCCCATTCACTTTCAGATTTCAGGCAATCACTCTTGTCTGCCCCTAGCAGTCTCTCCCCGTTATTCTCCATTTTTTCTAACTTTGGCCTGGAAGTTTCAAGATTAGAAGACCTTAGAACTATTTTCCAGGTTAAAAAACAACAAAGGTGGCTCGGTGCCGGGATTTGGCGACTCGTTTAGATTGTCAAGGTCTTTTTATTTATTTCTAGGTTCTCTGCTATCCTTGGGAAAAGCAAGGTTGCTGGACAGATGAGGTCTTACTAAAGTAATGCCAGATCGTTTTTTATTTTTATAATATAAAATAGCATTATATCCGAAAAGTTATTCACCAAATATTAAACTGAAGCAATCTTGGTGGTACGATTTTCTTGGAATACCTGATCCTTTCTATTTTATTTAAAAACAAAACAGAACAATGAATACTACATTAATAATAAAACATTTTATAAAAAAAAAGATAAATTGAAAGACACTCCCTATCTAATCTCATCAACCATTCTTTCACGATTTGATCACTTAAAAATATTTTTATTGATTTCAGAAAGGAAGGGAGAGTAGAGAGAGCTAGAAACTTCAATGAAGAAAATCATTGATTGACTGCCTCCTGCATACTTCCCACTGGGGATCCAGCCCTGAAGGCGGGCATGTGCCCTTGACCCAAGCAAAGCCAAGGCTCTGTCCACTGAGCCAAACCAGCTAGGGCAATGATTTGATCACTTTAAAAAATGGATGTAACCGGCCGGTGTGACTCAGTTATTGAGCATTGACCTATGAGCCTGTAGGTCACTGATGGATTCCCAGTCAAGGCACATGGCTGGGTTGAGGCTCCATAGCCAGGGTGGGCATGCAGAACTCAAATAAATTTGAGATGTTTCCATCTTCCTCTTCCTTTCTAAAATCTATAAAAATATATTTTAAAACAGACACAATATTTAAAAAATGGATTAAATACTGTGTTTACTGGGTTTTATTTGACTCACACTCATGTTGCCATCCATAGTTACTAGAATACTGTAAAATAAGTTGTAAATAGGAAATACTGCAGGGATGCCAACCATCAATATGGTTGAAGGTGACTGTCTTTTTGACCTCTGGCTCCACTCATTTCATACAAGGTCAGAGAGGAATACCCAACTTGGATAGTGTTCCGGGCCAAAACCCTTTACTTCCTTTAGTCCTCCCAACAGCTCAGTGAGGCAGGCACATCACCTTCTAGGGGGTAAAAGGACGTGGGCCACGCAGCGGGGAGGCTCAGCAGCCTGGTCAGGAAAACAGGACGAGGGCTTTGGAGGTACTTCTGGTACCATTCGCGCGTTCACTGCACTCTGGCCACACTGTCGCCTCACCTGACAAACGTATCCTACCTCCTGCACCCCATCGGGCACACTGCGGGCTGGGGGAGACTGCAGCTCACATCAAAAGCTGCCACTGTTCATCCTCAGCAGCCCCAGGGCATGTGCAGAGAAGAGCACACTCCCTCCCGCCAGCCGCACTCTGGCCCCAGACAAACCTGACCAGGTCGGTCATGCAGGAGCCCACCACTACCACGGCCGCCGCCGCCTCCTGCCTCTGCCGCCCCGGCTCCCCAGACGCGGCCATGGCTCTCAAGCGAGGTGCTCTCCAACCAGGAAGCTGCCCTTTACCCTTTGCCCGACCACCCCGTTGCCAGAGACGCCGCCCCGACCCTCCTTAGCTACACGGGCCTTCCAGATGCCTATGCGGGTCGCCCACCTGAATGCCCGAAACAACCCCGCCCCCCAGCCGCCCCCGGCGCTTCCAGGAATGGTCTCCCCGCACCGCCTCCCGCAGGAGGCCCCGCGGACGGTTCCCGACCCGCGCTGCTCGCTGCGGCCGAAGAAAGCGCCGTAGCGGGAACTTTCAGGCACCGCGGGGACGCCTCTCGGGGAGCCCCGCTCTGGGCGCGCGCGCTTCCCGGCCGGGCCGCCGAAGGGGCGGGGCGGGGCGGACATCCGGGGACGAGCACGCGGACATCCGGGGACGAGCACGCCGTAGGCCCCGCGGTGCGCGCGCAGCTCGGCGCGTCGGTCGGGGGCGCGCGCTCGGGGAACCTGTACCCCACGTAGTCGCCGGTTACCGAACGGACTAAGTTCCAGGTACCTAGGCTGGGGCTGGTGTGGGGAGGTTGGGTCCTGAGCCGCACAGGCGGCGCTGAGGACCGTGCCCAGAGCTCGCCTCCCCTTTCCCGTGGAGAAGGCCCGGCTCCAAAGATGCCCTGCTCATCCCCATCCCGCTAGTCCCCTCAAGAACGGGATCCCCAAGGCCAGGAGTTATTCCTTCTCCTCATCTATCCCGTTCCTGGCCCCCGGTGAACCCGATTGCTTCCTCTTTTCCCGCGTGATGAGGGGATCATAAGGTTTGGGAGAAGGGAGAGTGCCCCCTTTGAAATGTCTTCTCCATGGGGGTGATCATTCTTTGGGTCGTAGCCGGCTTGTTTTTCTCAGAGTGCTGTCCCTTGGAGAAATGACTCCCCCCCCCCCCCCCCCGTGTTAACTTCCCTTGTGCGCCCTATGACGTGAACGTGACGCAGCTGGACGCTACCCCTTTCCGTTCCATGACGTCAGCAGGGCACATGTTTCCGTGTTCGTCATTCCATCTTAATTGCAAGAAACTGGACAGCGCTTTAGACGTCTTTGTGGTCCCCAGGTGGCCGATCAGAGGACCTTACGTGACCTTAATTGGAGGCCGCAGGCACCTGTCAAAATTGTATTTCTGCATTTTCCTTCTGTAAATATCAAAATCAGGAAATACAAATTGCCTAACTAGCATTCAAGGGAGGCAGGCCACCGTAAAGTGTTGCCTGCCTGCGTTCTGTTTGTTACAATGCTGAGATGTGTAAAAGCTGCTCCCGGGGGTGATTCCTACAGCCATGCCCCTGGCTCCAAAGGACTGCACCAAAAGACCATCACCATTCTGTGGCCTCTGATTTTGGAGTATTTCCCTCTCTCCTTTAGAGGAGCCACAGCACCTCACGCTTGAAACAGATTTTAGCACTGCATGAAATCTTGAGCTGTCAAAAAATAGTATTTTGGCTGTTCTGGAAACAAAGACAAATTCATTCCTTCAGGTGTCATCCGAAGGTCATGACAGTTGCTGAAATGAAATGGGTTGTTGTCACCTTAAGTATAATTTGGCTTCCCTTTAGCATTTTTTTTCATTTTTAAATATATTTTTATTGGTAGTATTACAGATATCTCCAGCGCACCTCCCTTCTTCCCCCCCCCCCCCAATCCTCCCTCTCAGGTCTTCACTACCCTTTTGCCTGTGTGCATGGGCTATGTGAATAAGTATATAAATTATTTGGTTTATCTCTTCTCCCTTTAGCATTTGATTGGTGCAGTCAGGCCAATTTCAGCAGTAGGCCTATAGTAGTTGTTTCTAGTTGTAAAGCAACTATGAGTCTAAATTCATGCCATTTTCTCCAAATTTTATGAGCTGTATACTTTAAAAAATTCACTTTGATGCTTTTCTCTTTGGTGATTGAAGTTATGTTTATTTGAGAGGAAAATGAGAATAGTGGATTTTGAAGGGGATCTGGATATGATCCTTCTGCTTACTAGGTTGGGGAATTTGAACAAGTTAGGTAGTCTTGCTGAGTATTAGTTTTCTTATCTATGAAGTGGAAACTAATATTAAACAGAGGACAGGATTGTTCATGGGAAGTAAATGAAATTACAAATTGAAGTGGGTAGTACAGTGCTTTATAATGAAGAGATGTTCAGAATGTTATATTTTCCTTTTTCATAGAAATGAGAGAGACAATTATAATAGATATTTCCCATAATTAAAATTATGGAAAAACAAGGAAGGATATTTTCCCCCCATTGATTTTCAAAGAGAGTGGAAGGGAGTGGGAGGGTTGGGGAGAGAGAAGCATCAATGTAAGAGACACATCGATTGGTTGCCTCCTGCATGCACTCACCAGGGGTTGGAGATGAACCTGCAACCCAGGTACATGCCCTTCACCGGGAATCAAACCTGAAATCCTTCCTGAGACTCTTCTTGAGGCCTTAAGAAGGCCTTCACTCCCTCTAACATACAAAACCCAGGTCAGAGCCTGAGAACTGACCTCTAATCACTAAGAAACACAGACCTGGGAGAGGAAGAATAATTTTGTAATGTAGGTGAGGTCCTTCAGTTTTTTTCCTAGATAAATGTTTTTGTATTTGCATATGATTTAGGTAATCATCCTTTCAAGAACTGTGACATCAGTGGTTAGAAAAAAAAAGTGGAAACATTGCAAAATAGAAAAAATAGGTTTCAAAATGACAATATGGATTAGCATACTTTTCAAAGGCATCATAAAAGTTATCTGTATTATCTTTAAAATGGGAATTCCCTACTACCTAGGGGTATGAAGATCAATTGCAATAATGTATATGGAAGCTCTTTTTTTTTTTTTTTTTTTTTCAAATTCTCACCCGAGGATATTTTTTCCATTGATTTTTAGAGAGAGTGGAAGAGATAAGGAAAGACAGAGGGCAATCTCAAAACACATTGATTGGTTGCCTCCTGTACGCACCCTGACCAGGGCCTGGGCTGAGGAGGAGCCTGCAGCCAAGGTACATGCCCAAGATACTTCTGAGTGTCAGCACCCAGAAGGGTCACAGTATTATTATGTTTTGAAAGATCACTGTAGTTCTTTATTTTTGTCTGAAGTTATTAAAACAAGTACTAGTTTCGAACATTTATTTTAGCAGGGTCACGTAAGTCCTCATGTGGTATAATATATGAAAACTAGAAACAAAACATCATTTACTTGTAACTTGCAGGTGCTTAATTGCTTTAGATATGAGATTATCCTTTCAGATTGAAAAAGACAGTGATCATTTAAGTTGACTTATTCACCTCTGAAAGGAGAGGCTTTCATTTAGAAATCTATTAAGAGGAACTCATGTACTCCCTCCCCCAGCTCCATGGGTTTCCAAGTAGTTTAGATATGATTTATTGGTTTTACCTTTGTATTTTCAAGTTTAAGGACTTCTTAGCGCCTTACAGTCAAAGACTTTAGATCCATGTTAGTTTGTGTTGCTGAATATCTGGACAGGTATATGTTTTCATGATTTAATTGTTAAGTAGATTTTTGCTACATCTATTCCTTAGATATGCTATCCTCTACCAAGTTTTTGAGGGCATATTATTTTCTCTATATACCTGAATTATTTCTCTAGCTTTTGTCTCCTTACTTAATTTACTTATTTAAAAATGTTTATGAGGTGTTTAGTTTGTGATCTCTCTCCAGTGGTTATAATACATTGTGCAGAAACAGTTAATGAAAATTATGTAGAGAAGTATATCAGAAAAAAATAATTTCTAATAAGTAACTTGCAAGTAGGTTATGCTTGTTCTAGGTCTTTACATAGTATTATCAGCTAAGTTCTTACAAAGTGAGGATTCCTAACCTAGTGGTATGTGGGTTTTGTATGTTAGAGGGAGTGAAGGCTTCTTAAGGCCTCAACTAAGGTAGAAACAGCCAGTTGTAAGCGAAATGGGACAGCTTTAAGTGGAGTGCAGCACTGTAGAAATCAACTTGGGAAAGGAGGAGGGAATTGGATTTCAAGGGTTGCCTCTGTTCCTGAAAAGCAGTGTAGTCTATATCCTAAGTAGGTGAGTAGCAGGGAGATGATTTCATTGGGAAAGGCAGCGTAAGACAGGAAAAGGAGGTATTTATTCATGCAAGAGAAACTTCTGTGTGCTATGCCAGTTTTCAGGAAGCTTGGTGTATGTAGTTCTTGGATATTCTGATCACCATTCTTTCCTTCTTCTTTCAGTGGTGATTTGCAAGTCAAGTTAAAATGTCCCCAGAAGTGGCCTTGAACCGAATTTCTCCAATGCTGTCCCCATTTATATCTAGTGTGGTCCGCAATGGAAAAGTGGGACTGGATGCTACAAACTGTTTGAGGATAACTGACTTGAAATCTGGGTATGTAACTCAACCAATCCAACTTTTACCTACCGAAAAGCCTCCTTTTGCCAGAGTCATAAAAATTGGCCACAGACATTCATCAAGTCATAATTTAATCGCATGTTGATTCAGTTGTTTTTTGTCCAGTTTTTGACATTTTATGTTTTCAGTTGTTTTATTTGTGTTGTGGGCCATTGTTTTATGATCATTGCTTTATGTCTTTTTGGGAGCATATATCTTTGTTAACAGAGTACCATGTTGTGTTTCCCAAGTGTACTTTTCAGTCACTGACTCGTTTTCTAGTTATGTCTTCTGTAATTCAGTATGCACTGCAAGAGTTGGGTTTTGAAATTCTGAATTTGACATCATTGAATAATCTCTCCTAATAAGAAAATTATAATAGCTAGCCCAAATGAGTCATTTTCATAACATGATTGACATGGTAAGATCTTATGCCTACAGAAGTTACATTAAAAATACTCAACTTTTTATTTTGAAATAAATTTAGATTTACAGAAAATTCGCAAAAATTTTATAGAAAATCAACATGATACTTCCTTAAGGTCTACTGAGGTACCTTTGACACGTGGTATAAAAAATAAGGGTTGACTGAATGAATGGGTGAGATGTTTTCCTAAAGTAATTGTTTGGTTTGGGGATCAGAGTGGTTTGAACTTGTGGCTTCGAGGCATGCTTATTGGTCTAGTAGTTTATTGCTTAAATTCTGTTACACATAATCCTTTTAAATGACATTCTCTGACAAGTGGATTGACATTTTTGAAATTACAGCAAAGGGTATTACAGCATTGGGTTTAATCTTCTGGGTATCATATATATTGAGACCTAGAAGGGCTATTTTAATTTTAGGGAACTATTCCATGAGCCTACTGAATGTTTATTAGCTATCTGCTGTATTAATTTGATCATAAGCATATGCTATTTGTAAGATGCCACATTTTGTCATTTTTAGTGATTTACTATTCTTGAAGATGTCTGAGTATTTAGCATTCTGGAATGATGCCTGGCAAATATAACAGAGAGGAAAGCAGGGAGGGCTCACTGCAACCGGTGGCAGCTGAGCCTGAATATCTTCTTTCGGCATTTCACAGTGACTCAACCTTGTTGGCACATGGCTGTGTTTAGGGCATCTGCTGTGACATCTCATCCACCCACAAGTACCTGTTGCATTTTTTGTCCATGTTCTGGATTTCATTACTTAGTTAAAAATAGATACTCAGTGTACTTGATTACTTAATAGAAAAATTTTAAAAAATGTGTTTGAAGACTGATCTCAATTTGACTGTATTATTTTTTCTACCTGGCAGTTGAGCCTTTTTAAAAAATGTCTTTATTGATTAAGGTATTACATACATGTCCTCATCCTCCCTATTACCTTCCCTCCTCCCCCACTTCCCTCACCCCCTTGTTGTCTGTGTCCATTGGTTAGGCTTATATGCATGCATATAAGTCCTTTGGTTGACCTCTCCCTCTTACCCCCACCCTCCCCTACCTTCCCTCTGAGGTTTGACAGTCCAGTTGAGCCTTAAAAAAAAAAAAAAGAAAGAAAGAAAAAGAAAAAGAAAAAAAAATATATATATATATTGATTTCAGGGAGGAAAGGAGAGGGAGAGAGAGAGATAGAAACATCAATGATGAGAGAGAATCATTTATTGGTTGCCTTCCACATGTCCACTCTTGGGGACTGAGCTCATAACCCGGGCATGTGCTTTGAACAAGAATCAAACCATGACCTCCTAGTTTATAGGTTGATGCTCAACCACTGAGCCACACAGTTTAGGTAAACTTTATTAGTTTGGTGCTTGAAAAGGAAGCAATTTTAATTTTAAGATAGCCAACTTTAAAAAATATTTTTATTGATTTCAGAGAGGAAGAGAGAGAGGGGGGGGGGCTAACTGAGAATTGATGGTCGGGAAAGCCTGAGAAAAGGACATTTAAGTTGAATCATGAAAGATGAGAATAATTCATTGTGAAGAGCTGGGGAATTTGATGTAAAAGGCCAATACCATGTCAAATGCAAGGTAAAACTTAACATATTCAAGAACCTGCAAGGCTACCATGTTGGAGAGGATGAGAGGGAAATGAGATGAGATTCTAAAGGTAGTCGGGGGCCGGATTATACAGAAGTTGGTGAGCTGTATTTGGAAATTTGAGTTTTATTCTGGGTGGAATGAGAAGCTATTAGAGGATTTTTATCAGGGTGACAGGATCTTATTTGTATTAAAAAAATCACTGGTTGTTATATGGAAAATAGTTTGTATGGGATAAGGTAGACTAGTTAGCTGTCCATTATAATAAACCAGGTGAGAAGTGACGGAGTCTTAGAATACGGAGGTGGCAATGGAGGCTGACAGAAGGGATTGTAAACTATTTAGAAGGTACAATCATGAGGAAGTTCAATTTGGCGTGTGAGAGAGCTTGAGCAAGTTGGTAGATGGTCATGCCATCTGTTGAGATAGGAAGATTGGTGGAGGAACCGCTTTAATCTGATTGATTGTTGTCTAGATGTGTCATACAGCTATCACTGTGGGTTTCCCTTTGTCTCAGTCCTGCGTTGAATCTCATATCTTACTTTCTTGTGTCCTCTTGCTTTGTTGGAGCATGTACTCCAATAGCAGCCCATGGAAGGGAGAGGAGGAGGTTTGTTTTTTGAGATCCTGGAAGTCTGAAAATGTCTTGAATTCTACTTTTAAATTTTATTGATACTTTGGGCAGTTACAGAAGTCTAGGTTGCAAATAATCTTCCCTTCAAATTTTGGAGGTCTTGATCTGTAATTGTGGAGATCTTTAACACTCTTACTGTTGTAGTGTCATGGATGCAGTATCTTTTCTGTAAGGATAGTAATTATAGTTTTTGTGAAAATTGAAGTACAATGGATTAATTATAGCTTAAAAAATGTTTTCTTACGACAGCTGGGAGGTTTAGTTATTGTCTTCATACACCTAAAAGGTTGCAAGTTTGATTCCTGGGCGTGTATGAGAGACAATCAATCAATGTTTCTTTCTCACATTGATGTTTCTCTCTCAAATCAATAAACATATTCTTGGGTGGAGGATTAAAAAAACTCCACAAACACCTTTTTCTCTGTACCTGGCATTGTCTTTCATGTTGATGACTTTCCTCAAACTGATGATTCTTGGCTGTCCATGTCTATTAAAGAGTAAGGCATCAAAATGTGAATTGAAGCTCTTTGTGCTTAGCTGGGCTTGCCAATCACTGAGCCTCAGGCAATGTGATCAGGCAGCTACCTGGCCTTCTATTAGATGATTGTCAGATTCATTATCAGGAAATGATCTCTGCGTCTATAAAAAATAAAAGTGCCTAAATGGATGAATATATTTCTATTTGTCAGCAAAATTTTAATATTGGAGCCAAAGAGTTTGTAAATTTTAAGACTTTTGATGTATTTAATATGTTGGTATATTTATATGTAAGGATACATAAAATACATATTTCTCTCAAGAAATGTATTATCAGCTTACACTTCCATTAGCAGTATATGAGGATGCCAGTTCCTCTACAGTTTTGATAATATCAGTATTATAAATTTTATAAGATTATTTGCTAATTCAGGAGATGAAAAATAGACATGAGCAGAAAGCCTCGGATGCCTAGCAAGGAGCAAAACTGTGAAAACAAGAACATTGCCCCCAGGGTAACCTATCTTCCCCTAGCATATCACTGGTCATGCGGTTTGGACCCCTGATCTTTCGTATCTCTGGTCAGGCGGTTTATATCCCCTGACGTTTCCTTCCTAAAGATAATATCTAGGCCCCAGTTGTATTTCAGCTCCAGGCCTAGAAAAAGCAGCAAAACCAGACAAATGGCACAATGGCTGCCTGAGGACCAGCAGCAGCTACATTGACTAGTGATCCCCTGTCCTGGCACCGACCTATCAGCGGAGACCACGATTCTGAAAGAGTATACATAGAAAGCTGACGAATATCCTATTGAGACCCTTCCCTGAAACCTCCCCTAAGATTTCCAGCTGCGAGAGAGATAAATAAGCTCAGGACAAAGGACCCAGTGGGCGCTCTCCCTTCAAGGAACATGCCTCTGTTATCCCCTGCCCCCTTTCCTTTCTCACAGGCAGTATTCCCTAACCTCTAAGGGACCCCATGAGATTTGCAACCAAGGGAGCAATGGGCAGTGGCAGCTTGTCCTGGGATAACCCCCTGAACCTGTCTCTAAGGTCCCCTTTTCTCTGACTTCCCAGTGAGCCAAAGCAACCCAGCCTAGGTTCTCCCCTTGCTTCTTCTATGTCCTCCCTGGTTTCACTGACCTAAGAATAGTTTTGCTGCCATCATTCACCCAGTATCCTCTTGGCTCAGTGCCTTTCCCTTTAGATATCCCATTCCCTCGGCCCCTTTCCTTAAAAAATTCAATTTTTCTTTATCCACCGCCTGACATGGCTGTTTAGCTTGCCCACATACCACCATGTTAACCTTTCAGAAATTATATATATGTGTGTATGTATTTTTTAAAAATATATTTTTATTGATTTCAGAGGGGGAAGGGAGAGGGAGCGATATAACCATCAATGATGAGAGAGAATAATTGATTGGCTGTCTCCCATTAGGGATCAAGCCCACAACCCGGGCATGTGCCTTGACTGGGAATCAAACCATGACCTTTTGGTTCATAGGTCAGTGCTCAATCACTGAGCCATGCTGGCTGGGCCAGAAATTATATTTAATTGCTCTTTTATTTTGCTTAGTTATTGGAGTGTGCATGTATGTGCATATAAAAATTACTAATTTATGACATTTGTCCATTTTTTTTTGGTGGGGTCTTTTTCTTATTGATTTGCAGAGCTTTTTATATGTTAATGAAGATTGATTAGGTTGAAGGATAAATGGGCTTGGAGATGCCAACTTTTTTTTTTTTTTTAAATCAGATTCACCTAGTAGTTTTCAATAGTTATTAAAGATAGAACATTGGTTGTCTAAAGAAGAAACATGCTAATAGTTTAGTTTTTCTTTATTGATTAAATGCCCAT